TGGTTATTATGACAATGTTCACTCTGCTTCAAGTGTTGACATATGTGGTACAAATTATCAAGTAGGAATGGTAATTGTTGTTGGTACAGATGGCTTGTTCCCTATGTTCGGGAGTATTGTGCACATTATTGCTGGAAATGATAGTATTAATTTTGTACTTCGAAAGAAAACAACTCTTGATTATAGACGCCACTTTTGTGCTTATGAGGTGGAGGATTTGAATGAATTTTTGTATTTATCGCAAGATAATTTTTTCTCATACATTCCTTTGTGGCAGAGAACTGCAGCTGATGATGGGAAAAAGTTGGTGTCCATAAAATCAACATTGTAATTTATTTTCATGTGTCTTGTCATGTGTTAAAATTGACAGCAACCATTGCTCAATCGTGATTAAAAAATTGTTTTCTTCATGAATTTATTTTTACTTTTATTACAATTTCAATCCATAACACCTTACCTCCACATTTTAAAAAAATAAGTGAGTCACTACAAATTGAAGGCAATCAGTACCTTGGTAGCAGGGTGCGCTGCACATTTTCTAACTTCTAAAAAAGAAGCATAAGTATTTCGTGATCTACCATTGGTATTGTGAGAAGTTAGTCATGCCTGCCTACCCGCTGCAACGCCTGTAAGTAGGCAAAATGCGTGACTTAGCTTGTTTTCCTGGATCCGCCCCTGTGTAGGGCACAGGTTGAGGACTGAGTATTCTTGGGGAAATACAACTTTAGATTTGTTTCGTCACATCGATTCTAGTAAATATTTTCTAAGAGGCGCTCAAGAAAACTTTCTTGGATTAAGAAGAGCAAGAACAAAACCACAATTTAAGAAAATGACAGGCGATTCTAGTCAAGTAATTTGTAAGGACCATCAAACTTAATATTTGCGTTGATTCGAGCTCAACTGTGTGACAGATCAATACATAAACGCTAAATTTAAGACAAGCTTTGGATACATTCAATACTAGCTACATCAAGAATATTTTTACTCCGCTCAATGCAAAAATTTACTCCGGCTTTTTGATGCAAAAATTTACTTGATTCAATGCAATTTTACTTGATTCAAGAAAACATTTTTCTGGGTGCAGCGCAACGCTTCCCCGCGTAACAGAGGCGTTGCTGCATAGTTTTTGTTTGTAATGATTACACTGGTAGCCGAGGAATGTGACGTCACGTTTGTTTTCACGTTAAAACGGCGATGTTAGTTTGAGCGTGACAAACAGTGAAAATTTACAGTCAAACTAATGTGACACACCGCACCGCTTTGTCACATTACTTCGGGTGTGACACGCAATCAGCTGTCGAACTGTCACATTAAAACGAATGTGACACATGGTACCCAAGTAGACATGTCGTGTCACATCCAAACGAATGTGACACCTATGTACTGTCACGTTCGTTTGAATGTGACATGCCCACTTTGTCACATTAAAACGAACGTGGCACCCCTTAATCTGACAATTATGGCGTGTCGCATTCAAATGAACGTGACAAAGTGGGCATGTCACATTCGTTTGGATGTGACACGTCATGTGTACTTGGGTACCATGTGTCACATTCGTGTTAATGTGACATTTCGACAGCTGATTGCGTGTCACACCCGAAGTAATGTGACAAAGCGGTGCAGCATGTCACATTCGGTTGACTGTAAATTTTCACCGTTTGTTACGATCAAACTAACATCGCCGTTTTCACTTGAAAACGAACGTGACGTCTCATTCCTTGGCTACCAGCGTAGAGTTATGCATGTCAGAGTTTTCGTTCAACGCGAGTGCGTGTTTTGGTTTTTGCGTTGTTCAATTCATGAAAATGCAGACAATTTGTCAGACCATGCCTTGTTCCATTGCATCGGATATTGTCAAATTTCGCACTTAAGGTGCTTAAGGACGGTCCCCATGCATCAGATATTGTCAAAAACGGATTCTCCGCCTCTGAAAACCCCTGACTACCAAGTTACACGCCAAAATAACCATTGGTATGGCCTGAGGAGAATTATGTCCGCCTAAAGCAGCCTCGTGGCCCACTCTGCGCCGCCCCTTCGGAGAAAATGAGTGTCGAAAGTGCCTCGCAAAGTGGCTTTGAGGCCGCAATTTTTCGGCGTTAGCAAGCCCCCAGGCCTGAAGCAAACTGACGAATGCTGTCTGTACTTGCGAACACTTTGATTTGAATGCCGATGGTTGGCAAAGAAGGTTGCCGGTGGCTTGCTGGTGCCACAGGTCATGGTTGGCGTGAACGTCAGGCGTGGGTTGTTGGGTTCTGACGTAACATCGCAAGTAATTTTTCTAGGTTTTGAAGGGAATGAATTTTCCACTTTCGAATACCCCCGACTAGAGATTTTGCCGGTGATTTGGAGGCTCGTTTAATTCTGACCACTTTTTTCGCATTTCGTCCCAGTGTGCCGCCCGGATAAGACAAATTCCTACGATGAAGATTGACTAGAAGTCTATAGAAAATGTTGGGTTTTGGGTACGGACAATTGGCAGTTGCACTGGTAGAACTCAAGCGTAGTTTTACGCCTTTCTTCAAGCTTAGTAGAATTACGCTCGGCTTCAAGCATAGTTCTCCATTTTGCTCCTCTCCCGCCTATCTTAATGCATGGGAGACTTTCTTCTCTACGCTTGACGTCAAGCGTAAAGTCTTCAAGCGTAGTTGTATGCTTGACTCAAGCGTACAACTACGCTTCAGTTTTACCGGTGTGTGAGAAGTTTCCGAAAAATTGGTTCACAACGTCAAGTTCTTACCAGTTTTAACGTAACTTTTCTTATATTTCTGGTGATAAATTTCATACAAATAACAGTGATATACGTAGCTGATGTGATTCCTTCAAATTATCGCAACTGTGATAACACTAAAAATTCTCGCGTATAAATAAAACAAGTTTTTTAACGTAAAGGCTGGTTTTGGCCCCGATTATAACATTTTGGTGTGATGAAGTGATAAAATTGCATAGCCTTTCAACATTGTATTACGGTAAGGGGGCACAACAGTGAAAATCGTCAGTTTTTTTGCAATATTTTTATTTTACTGTTTTTTTTTTCCTTTATGTCGAATCGAGTGCAGCAAACCCGACCTTGAAATTCAAATTACTTTAGGTCGGGAACATTTACAAGTTTACAATATTGTGCTAACAAAACAATATTAAGCGAATACACAGGCTACTTTTCTCAGAAAGATCGTTTTTCGAAACCTCTGCATTTTCACTCGTGTGCCTCCTTCCTTACATGGGATAAAACAGTGTTTTTGCCACTGTGCGTGCACGATACCGCAGTATGGCTTCACATCAATTCTCTGCACGATAATCACAAAACAGAAGCAAAACTAGAAAAGGGCGGCCATTTATTTTCTTGCCAACCTCGACTGCCCGAGCGACCTCCCGGTAGAACGTGGCCAGCACAGTTGGCATGACGACGAAGCAGCCAACCATATCGTAAAATCCGACACTGAACGTTGTCGATATAAGGACTTGAAGAGGCCAACATACCATCTTCACAGCGGCTTCAACGTTCTCTTTAGTGGGGTTCTAATCTGAAATCAAGCAACAACTCGAAAAGTACTGGAGCTCTTCAGAAAAGTCGATAAATATGGAAACTTTAGAAGGAACACAGTTAAAAAGGGGCCGTTCAAATAAGACATCACGGTCCGCGCTCACTTTACCATCCCCTTCCTCCCATACCAAAAACTTGGTCCATAAAATATGTCTCGTTGACTTGATTCTGAAAATACCTCTACTTGTCTTGCTCATAAAACTTGTTGCCACGGAGGCCTTTAAAGAAGCGCAAACCGAGTCCGTGACAACAACGCAGCGGTGCGGGACACTCTGAAAAAAAGTCTCTGGCCGGCCGGCCGATCCAAACGGCCACGTTCGAAAACAACCTGAATGCTGTTGTTGGATCTCTTTTAGCTGCAGTCAAAGAGATTTTTTATTTCGAACGTGCTTTTTCATCTTTCGGGGTAAGCTGTACGGGGCCGAAATGAAGCTCAGCTATTGGTCGGGTCCGGCTTGGCTCCCCCCCACTCCCTTCCTTTTTCCTTGACCAGTCAAGTTTTGCCATGGAAACAGCGATTTTGACAGCAAATTTCTCAAAATTGGCCGTTAACTTTTTAACCACATTTCAACATTAGAATCAGCGTGCAAAGTTCCACCAGTCTGTAAAATCTCATTAAAATCCTATAGAAAATTTCCAAAATACATAAAGGGCCACAATAATTGAATCTCGCGCCGCCTCCATAACATGAGAGAAACTAGGGTAAATTTTCAAAATTGTCCAAAATGACTTTTCTATATATCAATGGATTCGTCTCGACAAGACAAAATTTATTTCCTCACGGGACATAAGCTTGGACGCAAACTCAAAAACTTGGTTCGAGAATTCAAGAAAAACGTCTAAAAATACATCTTTTCTTGTGCAGAAAAAAAACTTGCGGTGGGCCGACCAAATCCTTTTAGGATTTTCTTTCAATATGTGGGAGGATCATGTGAGGAAAGTCGGGGTTACCCCAGCAGGTATACAGTCCCACCAGGTATAATCCCATCAGGTATAATCCCACGAGGTATAATTCCCGCCAGGTATAATTCCCAGCAGATATACACTATTTTATTTTAATTTACACAGATTCCCAACAAGTATAAATCCCACCAGATATACACCTATTTCATATGTAATTATATGTATTTATTTGAACGGCGCGCGGTTCGTCAGTGCGTCGTCTGCTCCGCTGCTCATGTCACCACCGCCCTCTCTGCGGAGAAGTTAGGAACTACGGCCGTCCGGCGCTGCACAGCAGTGCGTCAGAGTCAGCCCGCCGTCCGCTCCGTGCTTCGCCGTTCCGTGTTGTCCAGTCCCACCGTGCTTCGCCGCTCCGTGTTCATCTCTCTCTATGGAGACTCGGCGAGTGCCCGGCAAACTTGGGAAAGGGTTTACTTACACCAACGGAGATGGATATTTCTTCAAAATTAACGGTCGAAGGAACGGTAATGTTTACATGAAGTGTACGGAGTGCAACATGCGCGGGAAACTGGAGGGAGAGCGTCTGATTGTCAACGCCACTGGACTGCACAGTCATCCACCAGACTATGTGACAGAGAAAGTGCTGCTTCTCAAGCAAGATTGCAAGGAAGAAGAGAAGAAAATGCTGGGTGGCAAGATTCAGAGCGTGTTTACTCAAGCCTGCGATAGGTAAGTGTTACGCTAGGATGTGATGCCTGTTGATGCCTGTTCTATTTATTTACCTGTTGTGGTGACGTGCAGGGCTGATGAGGGTGCGCGCTCAGAAATCACCTTCGAGTCATGTAGATCGTCGATGTACCGGGCTCGCTCTGAACAGCACCCGCCCGTTCCGCAGGACTTCGAGGAGTTTGAGTCGTCCCTTGTTGACCAACGGTACTCAGACAAGTATGGCAAGTGTCCTGATGGCTCTCTTATGACCCGAGGCCTTGTGGGACCATCAGGTCACAGGTCACTCGTATTTACGAGTGATTTGATGCTCAATATTATGGTGGCTGCTCTCTGGCTATTTATTGATGGGACTTTTGCTAGTCGGCCTGACACGCCCCCATCTCGTCAGCTGCTCGTGATCTCAGCTTTGTATCAGGGAATGGTGAGGAACGAACTGAAAGTGGAATTTATTCGCAAACTTACGGTAACGTACGCTAACTTACGCATCCTGGTTTTTTTACAGTTGTTCCCAGTGTGCTATGCGCTCATGGAATCGAAGTCGGAGGTTGCATATCGTGCATTGTTCGCATTTGTGAAAGATTTGGCGCCATCTCTTGCACCGGAGAACATTGTTACTGACTATGAGGCTGCATTCGTACCAGTGATCAGAGACGTTTTCCCTTCTACTATCCACCAGGGGTGCTGGTTCCATTTCTGTCAGGCATTACATCGCCACTTGGGTTTCCTCGGGCTCATCACTTTTGTGAAGCGCAACTTTAATGCATTGACAGTGATCCGAATGTGCTATGTTCTTCCTCTTCTTCCTTCGAACAAAATGATCTTCGGTCTCAATGCTATTGAGTATGTAGCTCACATGAACAGCATTCTGGGAAAGCTGCAGCCGTTCCTGGATTATGTGCGTGAAACTTGGATGGTCAGAATCGGCACTGACCTTGTCAGTGTACACCGTTCCAAGCACAGAACGAACAACTTCTCTGAATCAAGTCACAAGGCACTTCAGGATCGGATTGGAACAATTCGCCCCGGAGTGTGGGACTTTGTCAGTAAGTAGTACCTGTCATTAGTATTGTCATTGTCGTGCGTCATCGTCCATTTTCTTATTCACATGCACTGTGATTGCAGAGGCCATCAACTTCGAGTTGATTCAGGCTCACTTCACTGTGGCAAAAAGCTACGGAAAATTCTGTAAACAGCTTGTGGTAATTCTCCGTAGGCCCCTTATCAATATTCTCCGTAGGCTCTCACAGTATTTTCTGTAGGACCGCACAGTATTCTCCGTAGGACCGCACAGTGATCTCCGTAGGACTATACAGTCTTCGAGGTCCTACGGAGAAGACTGTGCGGATTTACAGAGAATACTGTGCGGCCCTACGGAGAATACTGTAAGAGCCTACGGAGAATATTGATAAGAGGGCTACGGAGAATCCTGGCAAAAAAATTAACAGGATTTTCCGTACCTTTTTGCCACAGTGTTGGATGTGATCCGTGTCCAGGGTGCCAAGCCAACTCGTAGAAACCGCCGCGCTCGGTGGATTCGGCAGGATGCCAAGATCAACAAATGGCTGAATCAATTGGACAAGGGTGAGAAGACTGTTCTGGAGTTTCTTGTTTCGGCACAAAACATCGCCCGAAAACTGCAAGGCGTGCAGTTACACTTGGAAACTCAAGTCAGTGTGGAACCTACCGATTACCCTGTTCAACTTCAAGCTGTTGATGATCCAGGTAAGTCACGCTTTGTATCGTAAAGACGCTTATGACTCCACGGTGCATGTTAGCATCTTATCATCTTTTCTTTGCAGAAGATACGGTTGATGATCCGTCAAGTGCGTCAAGTCAGGATAGCCAGGAGACCCAGGGCAGTGACGATACCCAGGACGGACAGGATACCCAGGCTAACGAGGATGTTCAGGACGTGTTGCAGCCACTGCCACTCCTCATGCCACCAGGACACGTCGACTTCAGCACACGTCTCACACTAGAGACTGACCAGTTGTCGCAGGATCTTTTCAGCACTCAGGATGTTGTCACCGAACATCCTCTTTCGCCTCTTTCCCCTCCTGTCCAGGAACGTGGTGAGTTTCGAAAAGGGTCAAAGGTTGCAGCATGTTCATGTCATGTTCCGTTTGGTTGACGGCTATTTGTTTTCTCAGACCTCCAACGTGGCTCAGTCAGACGGGGTCCTGGTCGTCCTCGCCTGCGCCCTGCTGCGGTTGCACGAGCTCCTCCTTCGCCAACCGACGAACCAGATGAGAAGCTCCAGACAAAAAAAACCACTTGGTCGGCGACATCCTAGGAGCGGGCGCTTGTGGTGTTTTATCGGTTCCTTGTATGTATACGAACTGCCGAAAAGACACTTGGACGAAATCCGACACCCCCTGTGGCTTTGGTACGGGTCTAAACACCCCAAAAACAGCTGTTTTCGAGGGTTTGGGACTAGATGGGTTCTCGCAAACCGAGATCCAAAAAAGTACCCAAATGGGTCTCAGATACTCAAAAAAATGCGCTCTTTCGAATGCCGTGTCGAACGAGGCTCTACGACGTCGGGTTTGGATGCTACGGGCTCTCAAAGTTGCTCAATTTCACTATTTTTACTGAAGATTTGAGCATATCAGGGCCGTTTGAAGTAGACCATCGGCGATTTCGCTCCTCTTTGTCTTAAATGGTGCCTACCCATAGGTAAACACCCCCACAAAATTTCAGCCATGTCAGGCAATTATTAGAGGAACTGTGAACAATTTAAGTTTTGGGTCATTTTACCACTGGGCCTAGGTGTTTTTGGGTCCAGTAAAAATAATTTTTTTAGCTATCTACTTTTGATCAGCACCTCTTGAAACGCCTTTTAAACAAGGTGCCTCAAAACTTTTTTTCGAGGACAAACTTGCCTTTTTCTCCAAGTTATGTTCTAATTACAGCTAGAAAAAGGCAAGTTTGTCCTCGAAAAAAAGTTTTGAGGCACCATGTTAAAAAGGCGTTTCAAGAGGTGCTGATCAAAAGTAGATAGCTTAAAAAAATTATTTTTTCTGGACCCAAAAACACCTAAGCCCAGTGGTAAAATGATCCAGGAAGCGGAAGAAGGGAATAACTTGACTTATCCCCAAATTAAGTTTTTATTTTATTATTGTGCCTTAGAATGGTTTACATCATTACTCCAAATTATTTGACTGAATTCCAAGCAGTTTCGGAGAAAATTCACATGGAAAAAGGGTATAACTCAACTTAACCCCTTTTACAGTCTAAATTTCATTGGAAAATGGAGATAACTCAACCTTAGTCTACATGAGTCCGTTTGACAAATTGGCAAAAGGATATAACTCAACTTGTGTTTTTATGGATCTAGTGTAAAAAGAATCAACTCAACTTAACCCCCCCTTAATTTTAAATTTCAATTTGGAAAAAAGAGCTAAGTCCAAAAAATACACCAGAGTAACATACACTTTATGCAGACTATTGTTCCACTTGACTTGTCTCCAAATTCCTCTTTGTTTAGGAAATATAAGGTGAGCTGACTCTGTTTTCCATTTCAACGGAGAGTGATAAGTCGCAGAAATCCTCTACGGAGTGACCTTACACTTTTGATTTTTTTTTCAAAATTTTACTAATGCTTTTTGAAATTATTAACATATACAACATTCATTTGTTTTGTTTTAGTTTTCCCTACTAACAGTTTTTTGTTTCTCCTGAAAAATGCCCAAAATTCAGTTATCCCCTTCTTCCGCTTCCTGGATCAAATGACCCAAAACTTAAATTGTTCACAGTTCTTCTAATAATTGCCTGACATGGCTGGAATTTTGTGGGGGTGTTTACCTATGGGTAGGCACCATTTAAGACAAAGAGGAGCGAAATCGCCGATGGTCTACTTCAAACGGCCCTGGTATGCTCAAATCTTCAGTAAAAATAGTGAAATTGAGCAACTTTGAGAGCCCGTAGCATCCAAACCCGACGTCGTAGAGCCTCGTTCGACACGGCATTCGAAAGAGCGCATTTTTTGGCCCGCCCTTCTATTCAAAAAATAGGGGGAGGGCCTATGCATTTGCCTTTGTGTCTGTGTGTTGTTGTTGTTGTTGTTGTTGGCGTCTGTGTACAAGGAAGGAGTTGAGCTAGAGTAACCAGATTTGGAGGGTACTTCAGGAGTACCGTCCAAACAAATAATCCGGTGGTGCAAATCCCGTCCGGGTCGCACAAGGGCTGCTGCAGGTGCATCATGGTTTACATGAGCGGGAGGGGGATTTCCGCCATTATTGGTGCTAGCAGGGCACATAGGGGTATTTTTGGAATCGGGGCGACGAGACAAGATGAATGGACCTGGTCCCGACCCCATCGGCCGCTTTTACAAGTTGGCCAGATCAGGATCTTCAAAAAAGGGGGTCGACCGACTAAAAAAATTTATTGCAGATTTCGACTGGTCTCAGCAAGACCTTTTCAACGAGGGGTCGGAAAGGGGGTCCAGGAGCCCGACTTCGTCTATTAGTCACATCAGGATCTTGAAAAAAGGGGGTCGACCGACTGAAAATTTTTACTTAAGTTTTGGATAGGTCTTGGCAAGACCTCTTCAACGAGGGGTCGGAAGGGAGGTCCAGGAGCCCGCCTTCATGAGTTATGGGAAAAAGTGCGACGGACTCGTTTTGCGCTCCTGCTGTGCCTCTATTGCAAGGAGTTGCAGTAGCATGGCAAATATGGGTATTTTCGGAATGAGGGCGAAGAGACAAATGAAATGGGCATATTCTAAGGACAGTTGGAGTAAAAAGTGTAAAGACTATTGCATATTGTGAATAGAAGGGTGGGCCTAAGTCACGATGGTACATCGATAACTTTGCTTTACCCGCTCACGGTGTGTGTGATGCGAGCGGGCCGAAGGCCCGGGCCTTCGACTGTCCAAGTTGGGTCTGATGCGAGGGCCGAAGGCCCGAGAAAAGGCCGCCGGCAGGCCAAGCTGGGCCGGCCCCCTGTCGAACCGAGTTGCCGGCGCAGCGAAGCGGAGCTGGCAACTCGGTTCGACGGAAGGGCGGGCCCTAGCTTGTTTGAGTATCTGAGACCCATTTGGGTACTTTTTTGGATCTCGGTTTGCGAGAACCCATCTAGTCCCAAACCCTCGAAAATAGCTGTTTTTGGGGTGTTTAGACCCGTACCAAAGCCACAGGGGGTGTCGGATTTCGTCCAAGTGTCTTTTCGGCAGTTCGTATACATAGAAGGAACCGATAAAACACCACAAGCGCCCGCTCCTAGGATGTCGCCGACCAAGTGGTTTTTTTTGTCTGGAGCTTCTCGATGCTTCACCTGTCCGTGGAAGGCGCCGTGGAAGGCCGCGCCTCGCCCGTGCAGCAGGAGCAGCACCTGTACGAGGCCGTGGACGAGGGCGTCCACGGGGCCGACCGCCAACGCGAGGACGCGGACGCGGACGTGGGCGTGGACTGCGCCTCTCTGATTCAGAGCCAGAGGAGCTCCCGGAGGACGCGGCTACAGTGCGCGAGGTTAGAGCGGTTCAACAGAGCGTCCAGGAAGCTGCGAACGCCGCCGCAGCCCGCGCTGCCGTTGTCTTAGACGAGGATCCATCAGGTAGTGTTGCAATCACAATCTATGCTCTTTACCGCGCATGCTGTCGTTATTTACGTCCTTTTTTATGTCGACAGACTGCTGCAGAATCTGCCTTACTGAAAACAGGACCCATGCAGCCATCCCATGCGGCCACCGTATTTTCTAAGGCCAGTGCGCAGGCACTGACGAGTCCAAGCTGTCTCAGTGCCCAATCTGCAGAGCAGAGATTATCATGATTGTTGAGATTTTTAACTGATATACCATTTGTTTACATTTTACCTTTTAATGGTTTCTTTTAATTGTAATTAAACTTTATCAAGCAATTGGTTTTTTTTGAAGAATTTATACCTCGCGGGACTTATACCTACTGGGATGTATACCTGTTGGGAATTATACTTGCTGGCACACATTTTTTAAATTAATAAATACGTGTATATCTGGTGGGATTTATACTTGTTGGGAACCCGCGTTTATTAAATTTAATTAAAATAGCGTATATCTGCTGGGAATTATACCTGGTGGGATTATACCTGGTGGGACTGTATACCTGCTGGCATCACCTCGGAAAGTCACATCGAAATCGAAGATGAGCAATTTCAAAAACATCGATTTTCCGAAAAAAAAAAAAACTACGTTAGTTGGAGAAACCGACATCAAAACTTCACCCAATCGTCTCGAAACTATTTTTATCGTGTTCCCCCAGCTCTTTCTACGTAAAGATTCATTGTCGGAACAAATCTGAAAACTTTCAGCAACTACGGAGAAAAATAAAGAAAATATCATGATTCTGACCAAAGTGAAAACTTTGCTATGTTATTACAGCCAAATGGGGACAGATATCGCAAAACCCTTTGACATTGGATCTTTTCATAATGACCCCTACCCCTAAAATAAAGTTTCATCCAAATCGAAGAGATGAATTTCCAAGAGTTCGTTGGTTTGGCATGCAATCGCCCATCGGGAAGTATTTCACAACTCAAATTTTCTGGAACGTTAAAAAACATGTTAAAATTTGTCATTGTAAAGTTTTGTAAAAATAAAAACGTTGCATCGCTTCAATCACAAAACCCAAGAGTCATTTTGCGGGACCTCAATAGTGCCAACACCCGCCAAATTTTCAGGACGATATCTCAGACTGTTCTCTCAAAATCTTGCGCACAAGCTCTGAAAATCTACAATTGAGAAAAACGGCCTTATTTATTGAACTTGCCTAACCTAACCTCTGTTAATAAATTTACATTAATGACTCTGGAGGCTAAACACGAGGGGGTATGCACTCGCGTTAAAGCTGGTTCACTCTATCTGTAATAGCACGCGTAATAATACGCGTAATAGTCGCGTAATAGCCGAAATTGTCAAAATTTTATCAATTTTGGTATGTTTTAGGCCGTTTTTAGCTAGATTCCGATTAATTTGTGGCGTAATAGAGCGTAATAGTCGGTACACAGGTTCAGAGAGCGCATACCCCCTCGGCTAAACAGTAGCAACAATAATGGCGCTACTGCCTCCTTAAAAGCGGCAGTGGTTCTCCTTCATCAGAACCCCAAAAAAGGGTGTTGGCTGCCACTTCGCCACAATCAAATCCTTTACCTCGGAGATGCTGAGCACTCGCACCAACGCGAGGCTGAAGAGCTTGTCCCACCGCATTGCATTGTAATTGTCTATACAAGCAGGAACAACAGTGGCTGCACACAGAAACTGGAACATTTTCACCACTCGGGTGCAGTAACGGGCTGCATGCTCGAGACGAATCTGCACGATAAAGACACATAACGTTAATCAGCGTATGTGACGTCCTTTTTGTTGAATGTGTGTGAATTTGGTCTCATTCGTTTCCTGAAGATGTCACACTCATGTGAGCAGGGGGCGGTAACACCCTAAAGCGGCAGTGCACAGTGGGCTGGCGGATCAAAATCTGACATTTAATTCAATTGTGACCGACTGGGTTGCGCTATTGATATCATATTAGTTCCGATCGATTCGTCTTGAGACGCTCTATCGATCTGCTTTTGTATTTTGATGTGCAGGGTAGTGTATCTAGCAAAAATGTCAAAAAATGTTCAAAAACTTATTTTTACACCATTGGTACCCGCTTGAAAACAGAGTCTGGGTCTAAAATTGGTGAACAGACCTAAGAGAGTACTTCCAAAATCAAAATTAGCAAAAAGAGTAAAAAATATAAGTTTTGACTCGAAACTAATTTTTTAAGCAAATTCTTAAAAACTGTCAGATTTTACATGAAAACAATGAAGATGGAAAGCAAAAGGTTACCAAAGTAATGAACACAGATAAGATACGCATAAATCGACGATTATGAACGAAAATAAAGAGAGAATCTGAGAATTTAAGTTAAAAGTGGTGGCGTTCGACATGTCGCATTCCCG